TCAGTTTTAAAGTGAGCTTTTTGTGCACAACTGCAGTACATGTACCACATGAAACTGTGCAATCATTTTCCTTAATGGATATTTCTCAAATTGCATTTACATGTACGACTAACCTAAGTAATATTTTATGAATTTTACAATTCTTTAAACAAAGATTTGAATATTAAACGAATGTGAAAGAAATTAGTGCTAGATACACAAGATTAAATGATACCTGGGTTACAGTGTATGTTTAGGAATATCTTGCATTAAACTGTGCAATCATTTCCCTTAATGGATAATTCTCAAATTGCATTTACATATATGTATGAAATGCATTGATGTCAAACGAACAGCAAAATGATCCAAAATTTTATTGCCATGAATACACATGAATCTAGTTCAGACGGGGAAGTGTGCGTTGTACATCGGTTTTTACCCCATATATTGTACAACTATGTATATGTAAAGATACATGAATCATTTGCGTGAACAAACCTGTCATTGTTTTATTTAGAAAAAGATATAGGAAGTGATAAAATATTGTATGACATAAGATTTGTAAATTGCTAACAGATAATAATGAGTGAGGAATTCAACTGCGGAATACAAGTTTTCCCCAAAAATTCATATCTACATGTATATTTATGCATGTATTGTAATCAAATTCATATACAAATTGTCTAATAAGTTTGTCAATTTATATGTTTTTGATATGCTATTATCATAAAAATTGTATCTTTTAAACTAACTTCACATTTATAAATGTGTCATGAACGAGAGTATTTTGCCAAGGATGCAACATTACTCCCATTCACCATTGCTGTCCATTTTGGGATAATCTATAATACTGTGGTACATAGTCTTTATTTTAACAATTCACTTGTATTGCAGGTGCATTTAGAAGTGGGAAGTGGAAGGAAACTGGAGTAAGCACAGAAAACATGTGATCAAGATTAGGCAGAAACTCTTACTCCTGGTCACAGACTAGCACAGAATTAGACTACTCAGCCATCCAGCAAGCCTGCCGGGATATCACAGCTGGAACAAAGTGAATGATTTACATAAAAATATTTCATGTTAGTCCCAAAATTACCAAAATCGGTTGATGTGGGCATGTAAAAATTTACTATTTTCAGACATCAGACATGCATGCTAAGATTTCATATCTGGGGCAAGTGAATGATTGACATAAACATATATTTCATGTTAGTAGCAAAATTACCTAATTTGAGTGGATGTGGGCGTATAAAAATTGATCATCTTCCACATTAATTTTGCATCAGTGCTTTAATACAATCAGTCATCAGTAATTTATTCAAGTAGTCTAATTAATGCTTAAATATGTCGGGAAATCAATAATCATGACATTATAATTAGTCAGATAATTAATACAGATTGGCCAGTTATAAATAAATATCTACATACAGATGTAACTATAAGTTCACATACATGTACCGTATATATATATATATACACACATATATAATTATATAAAATAACCCAGGCAAGAAGAATGAAGGGATTGCACACGCCTTCATAATTATTTTGATTTTTTAATAAAAGAATTAGAAAATCCTTCACAATTATTCTGATGGAGAATGAAAGAGTTTCTAATCCTTTATTATTGATTCAAAGCCTTAAGGGATTGTATGGCGGGGATGATTTAAATCCATTTAAAATCTTAGCAATCCGATGGTCTAGAAGAGAGCTTGTCATGTGAATAAATGTCTAAATTTGAAGCCAGAAGAAAGTTTAAACTTTTAAACGGTCGTAGCTTTATATAATCTATTGGCTAGTTTATTTTCATAGTGCATCCAGTGATTAAACTGAAACATGATCATGAAATGGTGTTTAACGTCCCATTTTTCTGTAGCAACAAGGCTAATGAAGATGGGAAATACGCATACAGTGCACTATCAGGGGAATTTTGCCCAGACAGCGGCACTATGGCCTAATTTTTTTAATTGTCAAGGGTTCTTTTAACATGCATGCTATTGCTAATGTGTAAAAGAGACTTCAGAGTTTCGTCCCCTTCAAATGAATCATGATCAAATACGAGTTATAATATATAAGTTATTTATGATTGTTTAAATATTGTAAACAGTTGTGGAGTATAGAGTAGTGGATATCTAAATGATATATAGTCCAGTAATCAATTCTATACTGAATTACCCTTTCTTGATATGATAGATAAATAAACTTTGTCTCCTAGTGTGTGAAACATTCATTTATAGCCCAATTTGAAGAATGGCAAAGAAGTCTGTGTGTATGAAATAGCTTTATTTACGATAATGTTTGCTTCTTAAAAGTGATATTTTTGAGCCAGCGTCTTAAAAGTGATTTTGCTAAAAATGAAAGTAATAAGTAATAATTATTTACAAACGTAACTAGCAGATATTACATGCAGTAATAATTGTATTTGCATACATGTATATATACAAGAAATAAACAGAAAAACAAACATGGCAGAGACATTCTATTCCCTTTGTTTATACTCCCAACTATATATGTACACCCAGACAACAAAATTTAAAGGAGCTAAATCGCTAATATTTGGGACCTATAAATTGACATAAATGGGTCACAACGCATATAATAATGTAATATGAATGTATATAAACTGATTTACATTCAGTCGTTTCCATTTTTACTCCAATTTTAAATCAGTTATATTTGGCGAAATGCGCTAGAAGTCTCAATCGAATGGCAATCTCTAGTGTCTGGTTATTTCAGTCTACACTGATAGCATTTTTTGTGCATGCTCCCCAGGTAAGAATATGGCGTCACTGTTTGACATGACTTGTGGAATATGTCTGACCTCGTTCTTCGAATCTTTTGTTACAAATGGCACTGAAATGCATTATGGTACACGATTCGTGTACCAGTGGTAAAATGTTTATATTGTCTTAAATATTGGATATCAGAAGCTCATCTTTTCCTGGTTGATTTAGAGACTTAGCTACTTTAACCAGAAGGCATTTCAATAATATCTAATCCATTCATATATATATATATATACTCCCACTTTTGTAGGTACACAAGGATTGTAAAACTATGGTAAAACTTAACCAGAAGCCATTTAAATTTTATATATTATGATCCCAGCTTGTTAAACTACACATATTGTATGTACACCCAAACTACCAAAACTAGAAGCCTACATCCGCAGTCCTACTACATGTTAAAATTAAGTGTGTAACTGTACAAAGGATGAATCTGACTACTGGTACATGAACATACCTACACCACAACATACACTTCAGTAACATAAGTTTGCTTTCATCCCACACAATACTAACTGACCTATTTCTCCTGACTAAAAACCTAGCAAGATTTAATCAATGATCAATCTTCTACAATAAAAGACCATCTTTTATTTATGTGTGTAGTAGAGGAGTTTATATATTGTGTTTACAAGTTTCTACTAAAAAGATCAACCTTCATTTTATTAAACATTCTTATGATCAATGATTTATATATATATATAAACATAACCCAACTTCCATAAACCAAACGGTTCAAAATGTTATCAAATAAATCTACTTTAATCATTTTTAGTCTAACAGTAATTTTTATTTTTAAGGTAGCTTGTCTTCATGTTGGGGTCGAATTATCTTTCTATTTATGTTCTCAAAGTAGCACCTGACAGTACACTGAACATGTGTACATGTACATGTTTGGTCTGTAGTGCATGCATATATTACATTATTTTATGTAAAAAAAACTCTTAATTAAATTGCATATTTTATATCATTATAATGGATCCAGTACTTCATGAAAAATAAGGCATTTAACAAATTTTAATTAAGTATTATTAACTACAAAAGCAAAAATAATTCTTCAATTCAACCTTTATTATAAAATAAACACAATTTTAATGTGTAATAAATATTAATTATTGTATTTTTAAAACATCACGACTGCTGTGAATTATATAAAATACATTTAGTAACAATAATAGTGAGCTCTATGTATATTGCGCACATTCAGTCAAAGTTAATATGCATATATAAATAGTAATCAATAAATAAATTCAGTCAAGCTTACATGTTTATTATATGTTTATCCTTATCTATGAAAATTGGGACATTATGTAAGATAAATGTATGTTTAAAATTAATAGAAGATAGTGTCAAAAGATACGAAAATTACTAGTAAAATCAATACAATTCCATTTCATAGTCAGTTAAGCTCTTTAAGAAGTGTTACAAACATATAAAAATCCCTTTTAAAATAATAAAACTCTATTTTGTAGTCAGTTAATTCTAGTGTTGAAAAATAGGAAAAGTTCTTTAAAATAAAATAAAATTTCACATTATAATCATTAAAGCTCTTCAAGACAACTTTATAAAAATTAAGAGTAATTCTATGCACATTTTGGGTATATATAGTTTTATATTTATCACATCATTTATGTAAATATACATATATATTTATCTATAGATGTGTGTTATTGATTTGCAATTTCTGAATGTATTTGTAGATTGAAAGAAATATTTCTTTATGACCTCCTGGTACTACTATTCAATCAATTTGCTTGTGTATTATGGATACTATTGAATAAACTATATAACATTATTCATCATTATACAATGTTGCATATTTTTCTTGACAAAGCTATAGTTGTGAGTACTTTTAATTCATTGTACATGTATATAATGCTTTAAGTCATATTAACAAGTGAAACCATGTGTAAATGCCTTTTGTTTTTAGTGTGCTTGACAAAGCTATAGTTGTGAGTACTTTTAATTTATTGTATATGCTTTAAGTCATATTAACAAGTGAAACCGTGTGGAAATGCCTTTTGTACATGTATAGAAGGGCTTATACTGCTTGTTTTAAACTCAGGGATAAAGATAATATATGATGTTATATACGTCTCAGTGAATATCTACAACTCCCAGGTATAAATCGCCTGAGGTTATATTTATTTGCCCGGCTTATAACGCCACACTTTACCGACACTGTATGAGTTATCGGCATACCTCAACACCAAATTCTCACTATCCTAAACCTACCTCATTCCAAGTTGGATTAAGCTCCGATTTGACAACTTGTGTTTTCTTTTTCTGTCCTGCAAGTACAAAATATTAAAACATAAATGATAACAAAAGTAATTCAGGTTTCATCAATTATTGATAGACACCGCTGTCATTTTTTTCTCGCATTTTTGTCGGTATGCGAACTTTGTTTACATGAATGAATACTCATCATACATAATGCCGGTAGCCTTACCTTGAAACAACACGGATGCGTAAGGATCGCATTGACCAAATGTTTCTGGGTTAGGAACATTTGTAGCGCCAATTACAACAAGTTTTAAAGACATTGTTGAATTGTTTTATAATTTTGCTACAATTCCCTTGCTTTTAAGTATCCATACTCGACTTTTAACATCCGACAAACTTGTGCAGACAGTTCATCAAAACACTACCGCACCCTCAACCTTTTGGGAATTATGGGAATTTATAAGAGCGATAACTCTATTTAACAGCCCACTGTTGTCGCACCTGCCCAATTTAGTAATTAGTTCACGTTTGAGATAACCCGATTATAGATTTCACATAAATGTCACAATTTATAATGTTTTTTATGATATAGAATTGTAGTGCAATGAATTACAAAGTTGATAAGCTACCTAACTCTACGTCATGCAAATTCTATGATAACAATCTCTCTAAAACGAGTTCTTAATATTATATCAAAAATTTACCTTTTTTAAGCGGCGAATATTTATGTCAAATAAATTGTACTTTTTAGTATACTGATGAGAATGTCGTTTTAAAATAATTATCGTAAAATCATAACATATCTTTGTTTTGTTTTTTTCTTTGTGTTGTTTTTTTTATTTGTTCGTTTTGGGGTTTTTTTTCTTTGCGGAGGGGGGGGGGATTTTAAAGACGAAGGTGAACAATTCATCCTCGGATTCCAGGAAAGGCAATTATTATAGTGTATTGCTGCATATTGCTTTTGTATTCGAAATTATGATTTAAACGTTAATTAACGCCAAATAAATGGTATTGTTAATTACGTTTTACACTAAACGGGGGACGGCACAGTTGGCATGCTCATCGCTATGTTCCGTTTGATTAGACCTAATTAATCCCACTAAAGAGGGATTTCTGGGGCCATTGCTTCAGGAATATATGTATAGTTTGGGGCTCAAATTTCGCTCTGGGCTGGTCCTGTAAATTAATATTTTTTTAAGGTTGATATTTCTGATCATATGTAAATGTTTCTGTTTGGAAATAGTGTTTAACGTCCTACTTTGCTGATCCACCCGGGCTAATGAACATGGGTATACACCATGTAGTGCATAATGGGAGAAATTGCCAACTGCCGTAGGTGTCTTTAAAATGCGCTGTGTCCCTGTACGCACCAACTGTACACGGGACCTTGGGTGTTCGCCTCAATGCAGCCCCCCCCCCCCGCCCCAACTGCACATAGATAAATATCTACTTTGAAAACAGATCTCTGCCACGAACGACCGCCATATGTAAAATAATAATTGGGTCCTAATCCGTTTGACATCTTTCATAAATGCCTAGACTAAACAAACATTTTCAATTTTATTCAAATGGTAGCTTATATTATATACTTCTTAAAGTACTCGAAACATAGTAAGCGTTTTCGAATAAAAAAATAAAGAAGTCAAGTTAGGAATCAAAAGTCTTCGTGTCTCTTCTCAAGCTTGGCTAATTGTTAGGCTACTTTTGCCACGCCGGCACTAACCAATAAACTAACTAGATGATTTGTCAAGTGCAGTCGTCAATGAGTACAGTAACACACCCGCCACACCACCCAGGCCAACTTGTAATCTTGAAATTATTATCGGTCAGTAATGTTATATTATTATGAAATATATTGTAGATTACTAATAAACGATAGTTTGCTAAGTGATCCGTCCTTAACTCCTAATTTTAACTTTAACAATTTTTGAAATATGTACGCCTTTTTTTTCTATTTATCATCAGCGACATAAAGATAGACACAATTTAACCGTTCCTAACAAAATGCGATAAACAATGCGTATCTTGCAATTTGCTTTCGTTTCCATGTGTGGGCTTTTTGTTCAGATGAAGGGAATGAATTTTAGCGTCCCGGCCACAGCATATATCGACAACAATATTATAAAATTGTATGCTTTATATTAATAAAATTCTAATTTGAACACTTGCCCCTCCCGCCGCGTTAATTCGACCCTGATTGTTCATAGACCGGACGTTAGAATTTCCGCCTATACCCGTAACCTATTTTAAACTGACAAGACATCGCTTACATTCACATCGATGTGCATAGGTGGATTCCGTTTTCGTTCTTGAGAACTCCATAAACCCATTAATTTTATTCGATTTTCTAGTTAAAGTAGGGGGTTGGATGACCGAATGGTCAGCACGTGCGCGCTGTATCATACGGTCTGTCATTGAGTCATCTGGCGTGGTTTCGATTCCCCGGTTGTACGTGAAAAGAGTAGAGTCGCCGGTCCAACCTCGTGGGTTTTCTCCGGGTTCTCCGGGTTCCTCCCACTTCTCAAGACACCTAGGCACATGTGTTAGTACCGAAATGAACTAATTGGTGTCGAGTGGACGTTAAACCCCATTTATCTCTCTCTCTCTCTCTCTCTCTCTCTCTCTCGTTAAAGTATACCTAGTCAGTTATTCGTTTTGAACACCACAATAAAGGACTTATTAAAGGGAGGCAACTCTAATAGATTTGGCAACAGACTGCTAAAAAGTTTCCGGTAATATATGATTGTACTAGTCATTTAACCCAGGTACTGCATCAGCTGGGATAATGAAGAAGACGGGTATATAGCTTGAAGTGTATCGCTCATACATAGGCACCAACCACTGCCAACTCTTTATTCGCTTTCCAACTGCAGGTTAATGTGTAGACCCACAGTCTTGCACGACTAAAATGAGGACATCAGGCGGGAACATCGTGAGTTAGTCATCTCCATAATCACCGAGACTATCTCACACGGAGATACAACTAAAAACTAAAAATAAAAACTGATAAAAAGAAAAGGAGTGCGAAATCACACAGTACTTTTATTTATCTACATAATTTGAACAGCTAGTTAAATCATGCTATCTATCTATAAAGTTATGTAGTAATGTACAAATTAAATATTAAAATACCAGAACGTAAAGATTTATATAGTCTAAAATGAAACTTTTTATTTATCAATTTTTAGCGTTTTCCGAAAGTCTATCCGGATTGCCGCCCGAATTATTGTTTTAAAAATATGGCGTCTGTACTGCGCACGGGTCACTAAGGACTGGGTCCGGCGTCCATTCACTTGATTTGATATTACAATTCTTGTTGTTTATTTCATTTGTAATGGCTGTGTAGTTCATCTGGCCCAGTCGGAAATCAGTCTGACTCCAGACAAAATGTTTTAACCGATAGTCAACACAGTACAAATTCGCTGTATTCAATTAGTAAAATTAGTGTTTTATAAAATTTCGGGCACTTAATGAGGCGAACCAGATGATATATTAATTTATTTTTCACTTTACGCATCTGCCCGAAAAGTTAGATTGCCCCAATGGCTCGTGTGTCAATGTATCGTTGACACGTAAACAACTGATTGGATTGAAGTTTACTGAACAACAATTTCATATTTGACAAATATTGCTAACCTATGAGAATCCAGTGATTTGAGATTTTACCATTAAAATCAAAGAATAGTCAATAATATCAGTTTCAATATAAACGTAAGCTATTTTTGGGAGGGGGTTGGGCAGGGGCTTCCATTTACTTTAGAGCGCCACGTCCTCTATGCATCTTAATTCGGCATGTTGAGATTTGTTATGAATTCCGTCCCCTAATAGTCACGTTCAGAACAATCTTGGATATAATCGTGTTAATACAATACACCGTATATGCTAATCTACAGTCAAAGCTTCCAATACGTAACACGGATATAAGCTTCAATCCTTTATCGTGTATGATTACTATCGATTTCATAGGTTAAGGCCATTGTCGATGACCCGACAAAAATTCCATTCAATTTCCCGAATCGAATGTGTCCAATTATACCGTTGAGGGTGGTTATTCGTGGGTGATGTATTCCAATAAAACTGATTGATAATATTATAAATTTGAACCCTAAAACTAAAGTTCAATGAGCTAATGTACTTGTTATTTATTTAACAAAATTCAATTCATATTTTGGTTTATTTTTTGTTGTAGAAATTTAACAATTTTATCTTAGTTCATATTTTTTCTCAAAACCTCAGTCACCACCACTTGCATTTAAACGAACACGATCACGGACGATTTTAGATGATGCCGAATTTCCGAAAGTTGGCAAAATTAGTTTCCCGCGAAAAAGAAATTTATATACTAAGGCAAATTTAATACTAGTTTCCATTTGTGGGAGTCAACTGAACTAACAATATTTTGTACATAGTTTTGAATAAACCCATTAAAGGGGTATTAGGTAAGATCAGATAAAGAGCTGACAGTTCTCGCTATAAAAGTTTTAAAAAAAAACCCCAGAATATACTTAAATTCCAGTCAAATTGCTTCACTTTGACGAACCGAGATATTAGCGATTCGATCTAGACTAACCTCGATCATCATTACTACTGTTGGTACGGTAATATCCCGCACAAAACTTAATCACATCCGATAAATTCCGCTTGCTAACGATGGCATCGAGAGTTAATAATTATGGTCTGAATAAGTTAAATAATTAATAATTTACATAACATTTAAGCCCTAAAGAAAGACCTGCAATAGACAGATTTAGCTCTTGCATAATGTGTGTTTAATTTTATTCGATTTTATAACTAAAATAAACATGATATTTATCTTTAAAGTTATGTAATGCACGCATGTTATGTATGATAATTAAACAGTAAATTACCCGAATGTAAATGGTTATAGTCTAAAAAGAAAGACTCTATTTATCATTGTTATTATTTTGTGGCCGCAATGACTGACCAATCTGATTAAAATAAGGATCTATATTTCGTTTCGTTATTTTATACTTTTGATGGCCTACACTACATGAAGATCTGACCGGTTGTACAGTAAGGTCGCGTCAGGGGTCGTAGGAACTGCTTTTGACCCTATGACGCCAGGCATTGATTAATCAATCAGCGTTGACGTTTCTAGTGGTTTACCCTCAGTTCCGTGCATCAAACGCCAAGAAGTCGCCGTAACGGATGGTTTCATTGGCTAACCCCCTACGCTATCCAGAACGCAGGTTATATACTATTCAAAAAAAGTAGGGGATATTTGATTTTTAAGTGTTATTAAAGTCACCTAATGAAACTGACGAAGAAACAAATGACAAAATGAAATGAAGTTCACATTCATCGATTTATTCCAAATGATCGTTAGACTAAGTAAGGCACAGACTGACCATTATAAGGGTAAAATGATACCCGGGGTCAAACAGCAAAGTTACCACAGCATCACAACCAAGTCA